AGCCCTCGACTACGCATTGGGTTCTCGGGTTGGCATAACTGTCTCGAATTCTCCCAACCCTCCTCGAGTTTAGATAAGGCTATGTAAACACACAAAACGTGCTCTATTGCTTAAGTACTGGGCTATTGTTCACTATCAGCCATTAGTGTGCAGCGTTAGTGTACAGCACTTGTTTTCTCGTTTTTCCGACGTCTCAGAGGGGTATTTGAATTTTGAATTTAGATAATCCAATTCTCATGAATACTGCAGAGAGGAAACCAACCGTAAGGCTAGTTTTAAAACCTCAAAACTTGTTCAATGAACTGATGCGTGAGCGTGTGAAAACAGCTGCAAGGTTTAAACAACCAGCGATTAGTACTACTTAGTCAGTACAGAAGTAATTGGAAAACGTTATTTGCGGGAAATTCGGTTAGAATTTTAATAAAACATTTAGATTCTACATCATCATTGGTCATTGGTCGTTTGGAGTCAAGTGAGAAAGCGTGCGAACCTGAGGGATCAAATTTGTGTGCGACCGATCTTCGGGAGATCAAGTTTGGTCAAGGCGAGCTCTGCATTTTGCCAGCTATTTTAACCGACTATGAATTGACGGGAAGATGCAGCCGACCACCAAGACGAAGACGACCTTCTACGAGATGATATGGGACCGGCGACAGACGCAGAAAACACCGAGAGGACGAACAACACGAGCGACCTGCTCGCCGCTACGCCCGCCACCATAAAACAGACCATGCGACGACGGCGGGAAACTTTCCTCAATAGAAAATGTACTGAAATACTGAATGCTCACTTACCATGCTAAAAGACGCAAATCCACAACTGCACATCGCAATAAGCTCAGCGACGGTGCATCAGGCGATGAATCGTTTGACTCGGACGGCTAAGGCTCCTTGTTTAAGGTTACTCGTGCTCAACAAGAGGCAGCACCACCGAAAAGATCAAACGAGGTCGAGGACCCCTAGACAAGCTTCTTAGGCAACGTAAAGCAAGCGTAAGGTGCCGAAGAAAAGCTCCTTTGGGAGGTGTGGCTTCATAGCTCAGTTGGAAGAGCATCGCACCGGTATCGCGGAGGTCACGGGTTCAAGTCTCGTCGAAGCCCTGATTTTTTCAGGCTTCTTCTTTCCAATTGCTTAAATTGGAAAATTTACTGCGATGATCATTCTTCACTTTCATTATTTGACTCTGGGATTTGTTATCCACCCCTCAAAATCGGTCTTTTTACCATTTCAAAAGATCACCTATTTAAGTTTTGTTCTTGATTCAGTAGAAAAAGAAAATTTTCCTGACTCAGGAAAAAGCAGAGAAACTTAAAGATGCATGTGACAAATTACGTGCCTGTAGTAAACCCACTTTTAGGGAGGTCTCATCACAACTGGGCTTCATGACAGCCAGTTTCCCAGCTGTCAGGTACGGACCTTTACACTTTAGACTCATTGATATGGAAAAAGCTTGTGTTTTGCAGCATGCTAAGGAAAACGTTGACATGTGCATGCAGCTAACGGACCCCTCATTAGCCAGCGTTAAATTGTAGCGCGACTCAGTGCACAGTGCGTATAATTTTGTACGACATGGTCAGCCAGAAGTTATTATATTCACAAATGCGCCATCTTATGGCTGGGGACTGTTCTGCGCAGCACCACATCTAAAGGTGTTTGGAGCTCAAGTGAAGCGCCTCAGCGCATCAATTACGTTTAGATGTTAGCGAGTTCTTTAGCTTTTCAAACGCATCTTGAGGGAAAACATGCTAGAGTGATGATTGACAATACCACAGCTTTCACAACACTTGGGCACATGGGTGCAAGTCACTGGGCATTGTGCAGTAATTTAGCCCACCGCATAGGAGACTGATTCATTGTCTTTAACATTTGGTTTTCTACTGCACACATTCCAGGGAAGTTGAATGTTTTTTGCTGACCGCAAATCACGTAATACAACCACGGGAACTGGATGGGCTCTAAACCAAAAGGTGTATTGTGATGCAATAGCAAAATTAGGTGTTAAACATAAGCATTGACCGTTTTGCCTCAAGGCTAAAGGACAAAGTGAAACCGCCATTTGTTTTATATCAACCTGACCCTGATGCCTTCTACCTCCTCTACTAAGGCAACACATATTCCATTGGATACTGTTATGAAGGGTGTTGGAAGCTCAAATTCTGATGACTTGCCTTGACTTAGTCCTCTTCGCTCCTACCTCTTCGCTCCGACCGCTCGGACTCGGTTTCGTGCAGTCCGTTTCACTTGATTCCACGACATTCCCAAATCCTCATGCCTCTGCTGTATAGTCTTTCCTCCTAGGTGATGTTTGCTCAGAGCGTGGCAGATTCATTTCTATTTCCGTCTTCGCATGGCAACAGCAATCCTCTCCTGCTTGGTGGGCTGCCACAACTCCTCATTGGAGATCTTCTGGCCCGCACCCCTAAGATATACCGGAGCGTTCGATTGGTGAAGGTTTGGAATTGGGCGATGATCTTCTTTGATAGTCTCCAGGTCTCGGATCCATAAAGCAGAAACGACTTCACGTTGGAATTAAAGATACTTATCTACGTCCTCAGAGACATGAACTTTTGATCTCTACATTGGGCCGAAAATGGAGAATTCTGATACCTTCCAGAAATTCTACAACGTACCTGTTGGCAGCAAAGAGAAATTTCGAAACGAACTTTTAAAGTTTTGTAAACCTTGAGTTCTTGTTACTTACCTTGAGAGGTTCCCATACAACTAATTATTTCCAGTTTGTCAACTGACTGTTATCTCCTTAGTTGTGGCTCCTAGTTTCACAGGCTTAAAGTTCTCACGTGCCTCTAAACGACCAATGACCAATGGTCGAGGGCCACTGGTTTATCATTTTTTAATTGTCATGTGCTACCCTCGAAAAATAAAGTTGTTACTTACTTACTAATGATGACGTGGAATTCAGAAATTTAACGAAACGTACCTGTAAGGTGAAGTTGTTTGATTGAAATCAAACTTCACCTCACAAGTGAGTTTCGTTTATTTTTTT